CCTTGGGTCCCTGCACCCTCATGGGAGACCCAGAAGAAGCTCCTGGCTCCTGGCTTCAGATCGGCCCAGCTCCAACTGTTGTGGCCATCTGGAGAGTGAACCAGCAGATGAAGGACCTTTCTCTTTCTGCCTCTGCCTCTCCCTCTGTCCCTCTGTAACTCTGCCTTGTAAATAAATAAATAAATCTAAAAAAAAAGGGGGGGGGGGACAATGGGCCAAAAGTTCTTAAAAAGCAAGCAAGGTGGCCAGAGCTTCTCTACTACCTGCCATCTTCTCCCTTTGTTTCCCACCTCCATCCTTCTTCTTCCACCCACTATCCACAATGCAACCAAAAATCGTCGCTCTCTCTAAGTAAGCTGCAATTCTGGTTATGCCACCACTTCCCTGATGAAAGCTCTTGCATGGGTCCCCACAGGCCCCAACACAAAGCAGAGTCCATGCTGCACAATTAACAAGGCTCTGCATGATTCGGCTCCTACCTGGCTCACTCTGGATCATCCCTCCCCAAGGTACTCTGTGGCAGCAAAAATGCTGCAACCCAGACCGGCAGCATCAGTATTAGCTGCAGAGATCTGGCCCAGACCTACAAACCAGAGAGGACTCTGCAGGTGAGGCCAATGATCTGTGCTTCAACAAACCCCACTGATGCTGAGCGCACATGGAAGTTTGTGCAACACTGGTCTAAAGCACGGATGAGAGGTAAAGTGCTATTTAAAAAACTCCGATGGGGAAAATGGAAAAGGCCTACAGCAGAGCGCAGAAATGCACACACTCTGGAGTCAGGCTGCCGGGTAAAAGTTTCTGCTCAGCTTCCACCTAGCTTTGTGATCACAGGGAAGTCACTTGGCTTGTCTCAACACAGCGTAATGCTCTTTAATAGCCCAGAACCCAGAGCAAAACAGCTTCATTTAAAATCCTGACTCCACCTCTTACCAGCAGTCTGACCTCTGAGGCTCAGCTGCCTGACTTACTGAAGCATACATAACAGTACCTGTATCACATGTTGCTGTGAAGATGAAAGGACTTCACACACGCACTGTCGTTAAACCAAATCTGATGCATAGTGGCACTGCACTTATTATCACTAGAATTGTTATGAATTCACAGATACCATACTGTACTCTGGAAACAGTCAACACTGAATGCCTGTAGAAAGTAAATAAAACATTCCCTCTCATGGGGTAACTTTTTTTTTGAAAGGCTGTATTTCTTTTTTTAAGATTTAGTTATTTATTTGAAAGTTAGAGTTATACACAAAGAGAGAAGGAGAGGCAGAGAGAGAGAGAGAAAGAGAGAAAGAGGGAGAGGGAGGTCTTCCACCCGCTGGTTCATTCCCCAATTGGCCAGAATGGCAGGCGCTGTGCTGATCTGAAGCCAGGAGCCAGGAGCCAGGAGCTTCTTCTGGTCTCCCACACGGGTGCAGGAGCCTAAGGACTTGGACCATCTTCCAGTGCTTCCCAGGCCATAGCAGAGAGCTGGATCCGAAGTGGAGCAGCCAAATGTCGAACAGGCGCCCATATGGGATGCCCGCACTGCAGGTGGCGGCTTTACGTGCTACGCCACAGCGCTGGCCCCAGGAGTAACATTTTTATTAGAAGGAAATAACTACTTAGAGAGCATTAACCTGATGAAGTTACCTCTTCCAAAAAATCAAGGGCACTGCCTTACAGGTCATTTATTCCAGACACATTAATGCACTTCTGAAGAAAAGAATTTACAAGAGTGAAAAGATACTGACCAGGGCAGGCATTTGGCATGGCACTTAAGACGTCAGCTGTGACAGCAGCATCCCATATCAGTGTCTGGGTTTGAGTCCCAGCTTCCTGCTGATATACTCCCTGGGAGATGGCAGGTTCAAGTCCTTGAGTTCCTGCCAGCCACAAGGGAGACTCAACTGAGTTCCTAGTTCCTGGCTTCAACCTGGCCCAGTTCCAGCTGTTGTGGGCATCTGGGGGGTAAGCCAGCAGATTAAAAAAAAAAAAAAACTCTGTCTTGGGGCCTGCGCCATGGCTCACTTGGTTAATCCTCTGCCTGTGGCACCAGCATCCCATATCGGTACCAGGTTCTAGACCCGGTTGCTCCTCATCCAGTCCAGCTCTCTGCTGTGGTCTTTGAGGGCAGTGGAGGATAGCCCAAGTGCTCGGGCCCCTGCACCTGCATGGGAGACCAAAAAGAAGCACCTGGCTCCTGGCTTCGGATCGGTGCAGCCCCAGCCGTAGCGACCATTTGGGGAGTGAACCAATGGAAGGAAGACCTACCTTTATGTCTCTCTCTGTCTATAACTCTACCTGTCAAAAAAACAAACAAACAAAAAAACCTCTGTCTTAAATAAAACGAAAATTTTTTTTTAAAAAAGAGATTTACTGAACATTATTCCTACACTACAGAAAATATTTCTAGCAATTATTCTAAACACATATCCAGTATTAATTTAGCTACAAACACCACATGGAACAGTGCCATCATGACATCCATCTGCAGTCAGTGAAAAGGAAGCTGAAAGTATCATGATGCAAAAATTTGGGTAGTACGACTTTGTCTCTCTTTCTTCATACTACTAAGAAGTCATACTCCTTCTTCCTGACCAAAACACAGCAATATCTGTGCCAGACATACCTGGCACATGGTACATACTATTGACCATAAACAAGTGTAACAAAAAACACAGTTTTTGAAGACATAATAATAAACAAATCTAAGAGATGGGAAATTGTATAGTGGTATTCCTTTCAAGGGTGTCCAAGAGTCTCAGCTCATAATTTATACAGTTAGGAAGTTACAAAATACAGGATAGATGGCTTCTCAGCATTTTGGTTAAGATCAAGTGAAAACGCAGGATAGGATATAGCGTTAGAAGAAGATATGAGAATCAAATGTTATACATGGGGGCCGGCGCTATGGCAAGGCAGGTAAACCCACTGTCTGCAATGCCGGCATCCCATATGGGCGTTGGTTTGAGACCTGGCTGCTCCACTTCCGATCCAGCTATGGCCTGGGAAAGCAGTGGAAGATGGCCCAAGCCCTTGGGCTCCTGCACCTGCATGGGAGACCCAGAAATCTCCTGGCGCCTGGCTTCGGATCGGCACAGCTCTGGTCACTGCAGCCAACTGGGGAGTGAACCAGTTGATGGAAGACATCTCTCTCAGCTTCTCCTACTCTCTCTATGTAACAATGACTTTCAAATAATAAATAAATAAATCTTTTAAAAATGTTATACATGGTGGCAAATCACAAAACCATATTCAGAATAAAGGGCTCATTACTGAGAGATCAAAATTCCATTTTCTTTTTTTTTTTTTTCAGCATTTATTTTATTTAGTTGAAAGGCAGAGAGACACACAGAGAGGTATACGCCATCCACTGGTTCATTCCCCAGATGCCTGCAACAGTCAGGGCTGAGTCAAGCAGAGGCCAGGAGCCAGGCACTCCATCTGGGTATCCCATGTGGGTGGCAGGAACCCATGTACTTGGACCATCATCCACTGGCTCCCAGACACATTAGCAGGAAGCTGGATCAGAAGCGCAATAGTCATCCTTGCACCAGGCACTCTGATATGGGATGAGGATGCCCCAAATGACCGCTTCACCTGCTATGCATGACACCTACCCTAGGAGAGTGCGAGGCTTCCTAGAAGCAGAGAGAACGAAAGAAAATGAGCCTGGCTGGCAAATGACTTCAGGCATCAAATATCTGTCGCACATGCTGGAATCCTCTGCCCTCAATCCCCGCAGGCACAGGTGTGCCCTGGGAATGGAGTAGTGTGTGTGTCTGGGACTTTTCCAGCTTTTTTTTTTTTCTTCTTCTTTTTTAAAGTCTGAGCCACTTTTATTTGTTCTTGAATCTGTGCCAAATACAGAAAGTGTAAGTTTTTTAATATTTATTTATTTTTGAAAGTCAGATTTATAGAGAAAGAGTGAGAGACAGAGATAGAGAGACAGACAGAGAGAGAGGCAGAGAGAGAGAGACAGAGAGCGATCTTCCATCCGCTGGTTCATTCCTGAGTTGGTCACAACCTCCAGGGCTGGGCCAGGAGCCAAGAGCTTCATCCAGGTCTCCCACATGGGTGGCAGGGGCCCAAGTACTTGGGCTATCTTCCACTGCTTTTCCTAGGCCATTAGCAGGGAACTGGAATGGAAGTCAAATAGCCGGGACCGAACCGGCACCCACATGGGATGCTGGCGTCACAGGCAGTGGTTTTACCTGCCAAGCCACAATGCTGGCCCTATTTCTCTAGTTTTAAAAATCAGTTTCCCATGTTAAATTGAATTAAGAGAATGCAAAAGAAAAAAAATAAAATGAGCATTTAATGTGATAATTTTTATTTGTGTGATATAGCCTCAATTTTCTCTCTCACCCCCCCCCCCCTTTTTTTTTTCCTGGTACCGAAACCTCACCAGTGAGGTGAAGTGAAGGAATTTTGGCAGAATCTCTTTTTATAGCTTTGAACTTTACAATGGAGGTCACAGATTACAAAGAACAGTCTATCAACTTTAGATTTCCAGGTATCTTGTCAATCAAAGACATTTTATATTGGGGGGAAGAGGGAAAGAAAGGTTAACAAGTTACGATAACTGGATTTCTGAAAGGCATTAGGTTGCTATGGAAAGTTAACCTGAATGTCTCATGTCTCTGCCAACCTAACACTATATAGCAAAGGAAGGTAACGAAGAAAACTGCATCTTACAACTGAAAATGCACAGTGGCAAAGAAAACTGTCAATCTTCTCATATTTTTAGAAAAGCATGCAGGATTCTTTATTTACAACAAAGCAGAACACAATAATCTTCTTAGATTGCCTAAAAATTAAAAACGAGGAACTAATCCTTATTAAGACTTAATCCAATATCCTCTAAGATGCAGGAGAAATGTTTTCAAGTAGAAAATACACACGATGAATAACACAGCTTTTCTTTATGATGTCTGTACGTGTGGGGCACACAGGGACTGACAGGGATTGTGAACCTGACAAAGCCTTGTGAGTAAGTCTTTGGAAATTTACCTGTACAGTCCTCTCAGTGCCGTCAACGTTGACAGACAACAAGGGCGAAGCCAGGTTCCACGTACTGGTCACATTTAGTTTCGACCCATCAACTTCCACCTGTTGTGACACCAAATAAGACCGTTACCGTGAAGGAAGACGGAAAACTGATCTCAAGTTCATGGCTGCATACAAAGCAGCAGCCACTTGAAACAGATGGCTCCCAAACAACCTGTCATGTTTACTGCTCCAGCCATGAGAGACAGGTCCAACCACAGAGTCTTCCGAGCCGTCTCTGGGGAGAGGTGAAGGACCCGTGAACAGCTGCCTCTGGGTACTGCGGTTTCAAGTGATTTCCAGTGAGTAACAAACAGCCTTCCAACTCTAAACCTATCTGGACATGCTACATTTACTGCAATTAGACACGTAATGCAAATAAATGCCAGTGACATTTTGCAACCCACACAACAGGCCTTGCATATAATATCCTCTCCAAGGACCAAGGAAGAACTTTTTTTGTGCTCATTTTAATGAAGGACTATGCATTGTTATCTTAATTAAACAGAGGCTTTAATTAGGCAAAATTCTTTGGTGTTGAGGATCAAAAGTCCATTCAAACTTTGCAAAGTTTGTCATTTTTGGTCAATAATAAATAACTAACTTCATCAAGTCATCATTCAGAAAGATGAAAAAAAAAACTCATAATCTTTCAACACGAATATTCCTAAGAGAAAAAACTTAATTTCTAAACAAATAACATAAAAGCAATTGAAAGAAAAAAAAAACAAAGATAATTTAAAATAGAAAGTACTACCAGTTCTTTCTTTTTACTCACTGATGGTTCTTCCCTAATACATGAGAGGCAAGAAAAAAAACCAAAAATACAATAACACTATTACTTTGAAGTCTCAAGCAGACAACCTAACAAAGGGATAATTAAGTTCATTCAAGTTTCAAAATAAACGTGTAGCACAGCCCAGATATACAAGGGTACTTCAAAAAACTTCATGGAAAACGGAATTAAAAGGTCAGTTTATTCGGGTGTAAAAGAAAAAACAACTTGAAATCCATGTCCAGTTTGCTTACACTCTGCATTTTCCATAAACGTTTTGAAGGACTCACATATGATCCCCAACAATCCCCTCACTGTCACTTAATTCTCTCACCAGACACTCATGAAAACGACGTTTCAGCCCCAGCTGTTTTCTCTTCTGCTGGACCCTTGGGGACAAGTGTGGGGGCGGGGGGGGACGGGGGACGGGACGGTAATGGAGGAAGGCTGGCGAAAATGTTCTGAAGTCTGTTCCTGGGACATAAGTCAGGGGAGGTTATGGGCATCTAATAAAGCCCACCACTAGGGACACGGTGTTCCTCTATGGGAGCCACAGTGGCTGCAGATGATCCCAGGGCAGCACGGCAGGAATCCAGTGGGATGATGAGTGGGTGTGTGACTGCAGGCAAAGACTAGGAACTGTGGGGCAGCAGACCACTCCATGTCCTCAGTACCCACGGCATGACTCAGCGGACGGCAGTCACCTGTCCAGGCCCTACCAGCAAAGAACTCCCAGGGCAGCCCCGAGGCTGAGTTCTCCTTCTCCCTATCCCGCTCCTGGAGCAGGTCTCACCACCATTTCTCGAGGCCCCTCTCACCAAGCACCCAGCCCCCACCCTTCACTGGAAGCTGGGGACAGGGGAAGAAACCTGACACACTGTGTTACCTGAAAGAGACTATTTAAGCCCAAAGAGGCCAAGGTCTTGTGTGTTTACCCATAAGTTTCTCCGCTTGAGCCCCTCACCCCCTGCAAAGGTAGGGGACTTAGGAGGAAGTTACTAGTGATAGAAAATAAAGGAGTTATATATTCTTGTATACCTGATAAGCAATGGATGAACATCTGCAACTTCACTATACAACCAGAGCAAAGAAGCTGTCATAACTACACAGCTGATGGACATAAATTTCATAGTTCATGCTAATCATAAACTGTGAAACATTTCTGCAAACACTGAGTGAGGGAAGGCTAAAAGCCACTGCGTGCCTTTTCACATCCTCTCCAGTATGCAGATTCTCCAGGATATGCTACTCTGAACAACAGCAATGCTGATTCCACTCATGTTATCATTAGATGAGCAAAGTCGAGAGGTCAAGGTAAGCCCCAGGAGAGGCGGACAGTGTCCCTTCGATCTGCAGTTTAACACCATGGAGGGTGGAGGCAGACTGAATGGAATTCTTGTTGCCTTATTCTGTCGTTTATCCTGCTTCCACCCAGCTCATCATCCAAGGGCAAGCAAAGGAGCAGATGCAGACACAATACAGATGCAGGTCTCAGGTACACACTGAGACCTGACAGAAAGAATCACCCCACCTTTTCTATGCCAACAACCAATACAAGATGAACTCTAGGGCAGAAGGAACCGATGACAGACTTAGAGACACCAAGGACAGCAAGCCCCGGCAACGCTGCAAGCTGCCCCGGCTTCCACCCAGCCTCACCTTCGCACAACATAAGCAATGATCAGAAAATAACCAAGACTGCATCTTTGCACACAATTTGGGGGGAAATTATATGAGAAAAAGGTAAATTAAGAGCTTATAACACAAGAAGAACTACTCAAAGAAACACAGGAAGAGTTCAGATAAATAATTCTCCCAAGTCTCAAAGGCAACCGTAGGAAATGTGACCCCTCTTTAAAAGAATGAGCTCAAAGAAGAAAAACAAAGGTTCAAAGAAGAGATTATACAACAACAGAAGGAAATGAAAATCAAGCTCTGGTAGAACTCAGAAAAAAACGAAGAGAAAAATAACATTATAGAGATGAAAGCCACATTCAGACAACCAAAAATAGAATAAATACAACTAAAAAGAAAGAAAGGGACACAAAGAAATCCTATTAAAAGTGGTAAAAAAAAAAGTAATATAAAACCAATGTAAAGGAAGACAACAAATATGGAGGAGGAAGAGTAGGAACAACAAGAATACACAACCATCTTTAATGAGGCTTACAGAGCACAAAGAATGTCAAGTAGTAGATATGGTAAGGCTTTTCAAAATAAATAAAATTTTGAATTTGTACACTGATGGTGTTGATGGAACTTCAAGTCTAAATAAAGAATCGTATGGGTATTTAGGCAGAAATAAGAAATTATGTACAAGAAAAGAAAAAACTTGGGCCTAATCTCCCATGAACAACAATGATAAAGAGGACCACAGAGAAATGCAGACCATATACTGAAAAACAAAAACAAATGCTCCTCAGTTTTATACCCAGCCAAGGTTCCCTTTAAGTGTGTCTTATAAATATCCTATAGCACATAAGAACTTACTGTTCTTCCTTAAAAATCAAGTATCTCTAACTCCACATATGTTGACATGAAACCAGCCCTTCCCCCAAGTACAGAAAGGTACTGATACGGTATGTGTATGATCGTTTGTTAGGAAAACAACTCTACATGTACGGCTTTAGACGCACTGATTATGGACAAAGGCGTAAACGCAGCAGGAAGGCTGAGGAAAAGTGATGCCTGGGGCTTGCTTCTCATTGAAAAGCCACTGACACTTTGTAAATTATGTTTGCTATATAAGCATTACATATTAAAAATGTTTTTAAGGAAAGAGAAGTATGAGCAGACTAGGTTTGTCTGTCTTTATAACATGTGCTGAACAGCTATGTCAGACTTTTCCCTATTAGGCTCACAATAAAGAGAAGCTGTTTCTTTTTTTAAAATTGCATTTAGAGACTGGCTGCTAGTCGCTACACCGGCATCACATATGAGCATCAGTTTAAGCCCTGGCTGCTCCACTTCCAATCCAGCTCCTGCTAATGTGCCCCGGAAAGCAGAGGAAGTATTTGGGTCCAGGCACCCATGTGGAAGACTGGGATGAAGCTCTCGGCTTCGGCCCCGCACAGGCCAGTGCAGCCCCGGTCACTGGGGCCATTTGGGGAGTGAACCAGTGGGCAGCAGTTCTCTCTCCTCTCTGTAAATCTGCCTTCCAAGTAAATAAATCAATCTTTTTTTAAAACTGTATTTATACTCATTTCAACTCCTCTGGTTGTACATTTACTGATTTCCTCTATAACACCCAGTTTTCCAATGTGTTTTGGACACCTCTTCCTCATCTGAGAAAGAGGGACTTGAACCAGCAGTGACAGAGGCAGCTGACAGGGTGGAAGCTCTGGGCTTTTTCATGGCAGAGCCCTTTTATTGCAGATATATTTAGACAGTTAATTCCTGGCATGGCAACTACAAGAGTCTAAAGAGATTTTTGTTTTGCTCAAGCAGCTCAGTTTATGGTTAGAAATCATTAAGATTTTTCTTAAATCTTAACAAACAGTAACAGCTAACAAATTAAATCAAATCCAATGTGGGGATAAAAAGAAATATAGAACAGTGAAATGACATAATACCCAGAGGCTCAGACACATCTTACACTTCTCAATGCAGACGATGTTATCTAGACATCCCAGCACTGGGCCAGTGCTAGAGTATCAGACATCACATAAAAGTGCCTAACATTCTAGAAACCATCCGGAGGAAAGCATCTCTAATTTAGACACTAACCTAAAGATTTCACACTACATCGTTAGACCTAGGACTCAAGTGTACCAATTTAAATTGATTATAATAGTAATACTAACCTGTAGGCTTAGCAGATGACCCCAGCCCTCCTTTTTTCTTTTTTTAACCAAAACTGAAACCACAGACCTAAGAACTATTACTTCTTGCATCAAAATCAGTTCTCGGGTGGGTGTGGTGGCGTAGCATGCTAAGCCATTTGCTTGGGACACCCGCATCCCATATTAGAGTGCCAATTTGAGTCCTGGTTCCTCAGCTTTTGATCTAGCCTCTTAGGAAGGTAGCAAATGATGGACCAAGTTTTGGGTCCCTGCCAGCCATGTGGGAAACTAGATGTTCTTGGCTCTTGACTTTGAGCTGGTTGGGGGGCATTTAGAGAGTAAATGAGCAGATGCAAGATTCCCTCTCCCTCTCTCCCTCTCTCCCTCTCTCCCCCTCTCCTTCTGTGTGTATGTATGTGTGTGTGTGACACATTCAAGTAAATAAATCTTTTGGAGAAAAAAAAAAACATATTCTTTCCGTCACTTATATCTGAAAACTCTTCTGC